GGGGGGGGGGGGGGGGGGGGGGGGGGGGGGGGGGGGGGGGGGGGGGGGGGGGGGGGGGGGGGGGGGGGGGGGGGGGGGGGGGGGGGGGGGGGGGGGGGGGGGGGGGGGGGGGGGGGGGGGGGGGGGGGGGGGGGGGGGGGGGGGGGGGGGGGGGGGGGGGGGGGGGGGGGGGGGGGGGGGGGGGGGGGGGGGGGGGGGGGGGGGGGGGGGGGGGGGGGGGGGGGGGGGGGGGGGGGGGGGGGGGGGGGGGGGGGGGGGGGGGGGGGGGGGGGGGGGGGGGGGGGGGGGGGGGGGGGGGGGGGGGGGGGGGGGGGGGGGGGGGGGGGGGGGGGGGGGGGGGGGGGGGGGGGGGGGGGGGGGGGGGGGGGGGGGGGGGGGGGGGGGGGGGGGGGGGGGGGGGGGGGGGGGGGGGGGGGGGGGGGGGGGGGGGGGGGGGGGGGGGGGGGGGGGGGGGGGGGGGGGGGGGGGGGGGGGGGGGGGGGGGGGGGGGGGGGGGGGGGGGGGGGGGGGGGGGGGGGGGGGGGGGGGGGGGGGGGGGGGGGGGGGGGGGGGGGGGGGGGGGGGGGGGGGGGGGGGGGGGGGGGGGGGGGGGGGGGGGGGGGGGGGGGGGGGGGGGGGGGGGGGGGGGGGGGGGGGGGGGGGGGGGGGGGGGGGGGGGGGGGGGGGGGGGGGGGGGGGGGGGGGGGGGGGGGGGGGGGGGGGGGGGGGGGGGGGGGGGGGGGGGGGGGGGGGGGGGGGGGGGGGGGGGGGGGGGGGGGGGGGGGGGGGGGGGGGGGGGGGGGGGGGGGGGGGGGGGGGGGGGGGGGGGGGGGGGGGGGGGGGGGGGGGGGGGGGGGGGGGGGGGGGGGGGGGGGGGGGGGGGGGGGGGGGGGGGGGGGGGGGGGGGGGGGGGGGGGGGGGGGGGGGGGGGGGGGGGGGGGGGGGGGGGGGGGGGGGGGGGGGGGGGGGGGGGGGGGGGGGGGGGGGGGGGGGGGGGGGGGGGGGGGGGGGGGGGGGGGGGGGGGGGGGGGGGGGGGGGGGGGGGGGGGGTGGGGGGGGGGGGGGGGGGGGGGGGGGGGGGGGGGGGGGGGGGGGGGGGGGGGGGGGGGGGGGGGGGGGGGGGGGGGGGGGGGGGGGGGGGGGGGGGGGGGGGGGGGGGGGGGGGGGGGGGGGGGGGGGGGGGGGGGGGGGGGGGGGGGGGGGGGGGGGGGGGGGGGGGGGGGGGGGGGGGGGGGGGGGGGGGGGGGGGGGGGGGGGGGGGGGGGGGGGGGGGGGGGGGGGGGGGGGGGGGGGGGGGGGGGGGGGGGGGGGGGGGGGGGGGGGGGGGGGGGGGGGGGGGGGGGGGGGGGGGGGGGGGGGGGGGGGGGGGGGGGGGGGGGGGGGGGGGGGGGGGGGGGGGGGGGGGGGGGGGGGGGGGGGGGGGGGGGGGGGGGGGGGGGGGGGGGGGGGGGGGGGGGGGGGGGGGGGGGGGGGGGGGGGGGGGGGGGGGGGGGGGGGGGGGGGGGGGGGGGGGGGGGGGGGGGGGGGGGGGGGGGGGGGGGGGGGGGGGGGGGGGGGGGGGGGGGGGGGGGGGGGGGGGGGGGGTGGGGGGGGGGGGGGGGGGGGGGGGGGGGGGGGGGGGGGGGGGGGGGGGGGGGGGGGGGGGGGGGGGGGGGGGGGGGGGGGGGGGGGGGGGGGGGGGGGGGGGGGGGGGGGGGGGGGGGGGGGGGGGGGGGGGGGGGGGGGGGGGGGGGGGGGGGGGGGGGGGGGGGGGGGGGGGGGGGGGGGGGGGGGGGGGGGGGGGGGGGGGGGGGGGGGGGGGGGGGGGGGGGGGGGGGGGGGGGGGGGGGGGGGGGGGGGGGGGGGGGGGGGGGGGGGGGGGGGGGGGGGGGGGGGGGGGGGGGGGGGGGGGGGGGGGGGGGGGGGGGGGGGGGGGGGGGGGGGGGGGGGGGGGGGGGGGGGGGGGGGGGGGGGGGGGGGGGGGGGGGGGGGGGGGGGGGGGGGGGGGGGGGGGGGGGGGGGGGGGGGGGGGGGGGGGGGGGGGGGGGGGGGGGGGGGGGGGGGGGGGGGGGGGGGGGGGGGGGGGGGGGGGGGGGGGGGGGGGGGGGGGGGGGGGGGGGGGGGGGGGGGGGGGGGGGGGGGGGGGGGGGGGGGGGGGGGGGGGGGGGGGGGGGGGGGGGGGGGGGGGGGGGGGGGGGGGGGGGGGGGGGGGGGGGGGGGGGGGGGGGGGGGGGGGGGGGGGGGGGGGGGGGGGGGGGGGGGGGGGGGGGGGGGGGGGGGGGGGGGGGGGGGGGGGGGGGGGGGGGGGGGGGGGGGGGGGGGGGGGGGGGGGGGGGGGGGGGGGGGGGGGGGGGGGGGGGGGGGGGGGGGGGGGGGGGGGGGGGGGGGGGGGGGGGGGGGGGGGGGGGGGGGGGGGGGGGGGGGGGTGGGGGGGGGGGGGGGGGGGGGGGGGGGGGGGGGGGGGGGGGGGGGGGGGGGGGGGGGGGGGGGGGGGGGGGGGGGGGGGGGGGGGGGGGGGGGGGGGGGGGGGGGGGGGGGGGGG